CTAAAAATCCCAGTTTTTGTCCTGGCTCCAGCTCCGTCTGTGTTCTAAATAAAGATGCTTCCCTCTGGAACATCTTTTACTAAAAACAGAAAAGAAAACAATAAACTCTGAACAAAGTTTTAGTTTTCATCACTTCATATAAAACAGCTGTTTCTGGTCTCTGACATGTTTTTAGATGTTCCTCCTGCTGCCACGCTCTGGTTTACATTAACGGGTCACAGAGGGGCTTCTGCAGAACCGGAGCCAGTTCTGAATGATCTTCCTGGTCCTCAGCGGCCCCCCGAGGACCAGGATTTGGGTTTAAAGCAAACTAAAACATAAATAACATCTTTCAGGTTCCATCTTTGATTAAAGCTGCATATTTTTCCTCTTCTAATTTTTCCTCTTTTTAGTAATTTGTTAGACCGGAGCCTCTGAGGAAAAACCTCCAGTTATGTCCAAATGTTTGTTTTGTGACAAAAACGCTTCTGGTTCTGATTCTGTTCTCAGAGTTCAGATTGTTTTCTGATGACTGAATTACAAAAAGCTTAATTAGCTGAAGAATAAAGAACCAAAGAGTTATTCTTGCATTTTCAGGCCAGGATGATCAATGAACCTGATCACACTCTGAGTGAATCTGGCAAACATTCGGGTTAGAATCTCTCCTTGGATCCCACGATCAGACTAAAGAGGAACTGAAAACTTCATCTTCTCCTGTTTGAAAGAGGAAACTCTGCAGCTAAATGAGCCGCTGTCTGGGATTATCAGGGAGGGGTTGAGTCTCCACCAGTGCAGAGCTCCATCTCTGCCAGCAGTGAATCGTTAGCGGGTAAGTTAGCGTCAGCAAAGGACAGCTGCAATGGAGCAGACCCGATTCATTTCTGCCTCATCAGCCAACATTAAGGCAAAGATAACAACATGGTGTATATTTCAGGACGTCCTCAGGTCTCAGGAAAACAATGGAGCTCTTCTTTTATTTCAGTGCAATATTGACCAACTGAGCAAACCTAATAGGTTGATCAAACCTTCATTCTTTCCCTTAAAACATCCTTTTTAAACAGCTGTTGCAACCGTTGTCCGTCATTATGGTGCGCGTTAACCAAGCCGCTCTGACCCTCAATGAATCCTGGGAAACGGTGGACCACCAAGGATACTCTGCACTCCTCATTAACATAATCAAAATTGCTGCTTTTTAGGTTGCAGCTTTCAAAAATCAACAATGCAGCAACTGAGGCCCCGTCCACACGAAGTCAAAACGATTTTCCAGATATTTTCCAGAACGTTTGTCGTAAAGACGGAGACGTAAAATAAAAGTGATCGTCCACACGAATGCATGAAAACGCTGCAAAATGTATGCCAGGCCTGTAAGTGGCGCTGTGGTGCCAAAGCAAAAATAGGCGACGAAATGTTGGGCATGCGCAGTAATATTTATACATGGTTGCCCTGCGGGTCCATTTTCGTGGTTCAGTCAGATTCAGGTGCTGAACTATGTGGTCGATATTGCTCTGTTCTTCCTGGAGATATTCCAGAAGAAGAAGATTCTGTTGTAAGCCCGACAGCAGGGTGAGTAGCATGAGCAGCAACCATTCAACACAGTACGACGCCATTGTTGTTGTGATACTGTGTCGCGCATGCGTGTTTAGAGGCGACGCTATGACGCATGCGTGTAAAAAAAAAAAAGCGGTTAGAGCTTAAAGATGGAAACGCCAAAACGGCGTTTCAAAATCTTCCCACTCTGAAGGCTGAATAAAAAAAAGATCGTTTACAGACCCCCGAAACGCCGGCTTCGTATGGACGGGGCCTGAGTTGATTCCTTCCCACTCTCATCTCAACCCCCACCCCTTTACAGGGGAACAGAAGACCTCGCCTGTTCAGCCAGGCCAACAATTCCCACTAAGACCCCCCTTTCAGAGACATAGACAGGTATGGGGCATTGCAGGCTAACAAAGAAGCCAAACGACCCCCATTCCAAAGGGGGGGACCCGTTCATCCGTTTCTATTTGCATGTTTTCTAAACTAAAACCAGGCTTTGTTGGGCTGCTGGATAAAACCTGGAACTAAACGCTATTTCTGACATTTGGAATTGAAAAATCTTCCTGGATGGAAGAGAAACGTCTTCAAACTCTGAAACAAAGTCCAGTGGATTGATTTTAGATTAATAATCTAAAAGTCAAAGGTTCCTTAAGGAAGATTGTTTACTAAATTAAACCAGGTTAAACCTTAAACTTTTCGACTTGAGGAATTCTGATGGAGCAGATTAACAGACGAACTTATTTTATCTTAAATGCAAAATGTTTATATATATTTTTCTATAATTTTGGTATAATTGCTGGTGTAAGTGAGTCGCTCTGTCAGCTAAAGGCATGTTTTAGAGTCTCTACACTCCAGTTAACGATTAATCAATTACTAAAATAGTTGATGATTATTTCAATAATTGATTAATCTTATTAATTGTCTCAGCCATTGACATCGGAAAAAAGTATTCAACTATTTACTGGAGTTAAATAAACAGAGATCGATGGATTTCTCTCAGTTGGCACTTTATCTTTAGGGATGAGACCATCCTGATCTCGCGAGCTTTCAAGGTTTCACTCGCAGATCAGTCGGGAGACTCTCCGTTAAAGAAAATTTGGAGCCGTTCACCAAACGAACGTCCAATCAGCGTTGGCTTTGAGGCGGGTTGAGGTGTGACGCAACGAGAAGCGCGACAGTTCAGTCTAAAGAACATGGCGGCTTCAGCCGATGAAACTAGCGTTAGCGTGGCTATCGAGCAAGTTTTATGGGAATTACAGAGTATTTCTTCACTGAAAGAAGAGCAAAACACTGCTCTGGAGGCTTTTCTCAGAGGAAAAGATGTTTTTGCTCTTCTCCCGACTGGTTTCACCAAGAGTTTGATCTATCAATTGGCTCCTCTTCGTCGTCGCTCTGTTAGTACGTCATATGCTTCTTTGATCTGATTGGTTTATTTGGCCCGTCTATCACCAACATAGGCCAATCAGCTAACCAGTATTTTCACCCCTTCCCAAAATTACTTCAACGGAAGGTTTCCAGATGGATATGAGGAGCAAATCCATCTGGCGGAGTCGGGTTACTTTATCTTTGCAAAGAGAGAACAGTTCATCGTACGGCTCTTATTGCACGGTAATCAGCCCTGTTCTGCCTGAGCAGCGTTCATGGTCATGGATCATGGAAAGTAGTCAGAGTCACTTTGGTTAAACAGTAACATGTTATGAATAAACCTGGATAAATAATCTGGTTTGGAACATTCCTGGAACTAAATTCCCTCCATGTTTTGAATCCTGTGGTCCTGAATCTCACTGTAATCCTGCAGGTGGAGAAACAGGAGCAACGATGATCGGAGCGACTTCATGAGCCGATCAGGAAGGAGGAACTTTGACATTTGACGAGTTTCTGAATAAAAGTGTTAATTCTCAGCCTGAAACAGAAGCACATAGCAAATATGAAGCAACATGTGTGACAGCAGACCGCAGATGGAGGAAACATTTTTTTATTTCTCATAATTTAACCTTTATTCACTTCATAAAAACAGGTTATTTTTCAGGTCAGCGAAAAGAAAACAGGAACACAAGTAAAAATCAAACCCTTTAGTCCTTTAAGTTCAATTTCCTGTATGTTTCTTTGGAAAGGAGCCGTTTTGGTTTATTTTTAAAGCTTTTTAACTCTCAGGCACAAAAAATACTTTTTGGGTTTCATCTAACGTCTGTGCTGCACCTTCAACAGTTTTAATGGTTATTTACACATCTGAGGTTGAAATGTACGGAAGCGTATTGCATTCACCACAGAAAAAAAAATCAGACAGCTTATCTCATAATGACGAGATCGGTAGGGGTGTAAATCCCATCCATCATGGCGATTCGATTCAGTATCGATTTCCTGACCCAACGATTCGATTATTTTCGATTCGAATCGATTAATCGGTTAATTTATTTTTTTTTTTTAAATAAATCAATAAAAGCTGTAATATCAAAAATGTCTGCATCAAGCTCACTGCAACACACTGCTCTAAGAGTATAACCAGGAAGCGTGGTAGGAGGGCAAAATAGGTTTAGCGCCACCGCAGCACGGGAGGAGAATTACGCCCAGGAGCAAATGGATAAAAATAGACCGGAGAAAAAAAAAAACATGAATGGATTCTCTTGCGGACGTATCGATGCATCGGATCGTCGGCTGTTGGATCGATGCATCGATACAAAACGATTATTATTTACACCCCTAGAGATCGGCATCATGTAATTATGAGATCTTATCCTATAATCACGAGATACGATCTCATCATTACGAGGTACCGATCTCGTAATGATGAGATACCGATCTCAATACAATGAGATCTGATGTCTGATTTTGTTCATTTTTTGCAATACGCTTCCGTAAAAATGGGTGCAAACATAAAAAAAACTCTTTAAGAGAAGAAAGAAGACGCGTTTTAAAGCCTAAAACATTCAGAGTCGTGTTTTTACTTCAGAGGATTTCTTATAAAACAGGAATTAAAAAAAAAAAGGATTAAAGTCATGCTGTTAGCTGCATATTTAGCGCTGAGGGATTATTTTTATCAGAAATCCCTTCAGATTTCTCCTTTTTGCATTTATCCACATTAGAGCTGCAAAAATGAACAATTGAAAATAAAAGTTCTTGCAGCCTGATATGAGCAGGAAGATAATTCTGCTGATGAAGATTCTCATCCAGGTCACAGTCATTTTGTAAAAGTTTAAAAAACAATCCACTAGACTTGGTTTCCAAGGTTTGAAGACATTTCGCTTCCCGTCCAGGAAGATTTCTCAACACATTTGAATCAAGAAAGCTTCCTGGATGGGAAGCGAAACGTCTTCAAACCTTGGAAACCAAGTCCAGTGGATTGTTTTTTAAACTTTTACGGAAGATAATTCTGTTTTACTCTTTTATTCCTTTTCTGCGAAGCACTGATGTTCCTGTGATTCCCTCTCAGTCTGCTTTGGTTCTGATCGCTCCGATCTAAAGCTGCAGGAAGACAAATCAGTCAAATCTTTTTTTTTTTTAGGAAAGTTTTCTTTGGTAGAAAGTCTCCAATAAATATCTGGGTCAAGAAAGCGGCGAAGGTCCGACTCTCCTGCCTCTGCTGGGAGGAAAGCTTCTTTGGTTTGGTTGAATCAGGGTTCAGCAGCCGTCAGGCCAGGTGAGCAGAGGAGGAGCCAAAGGCTCGGAAATGGACGTAAATATTCCTTTCATCGGTTCTTAGTTCCTCTGATGGGTTTAATAAACACGTAAAGGAACCAGGATGATCATTCAGGGAAGGAAAGCCTTTAAAATCCCAGAGAGACTCTGAGGAGAGGAGATGTTGGCTCTGTGTGGACGGACGGATGGACGGACGGACATGTGGGCTCAGTCAGTGAGGGGGTCAGAGGTTAATCCACCTCGATGGACTCGCTGCTTTCGTTCACCGGTTTGCACTCGTTGGGGAGCCGCTGATGGCGGCTGAGCTGAGTGGCCTGCGTGAAGCTGCGGTCGCAGCGTTCGCACCTGGAGGACAGACAGACAGACACACAGACCACAGATCACTAAACGACTGGAAGACAGACCCCGAGTCCGCCGCATGGACCTGGACGGTTCTGGTTCTGTTCATCATCTCCTGCTGGATGTCAGGTTTAAAACCCAGGATTTCATCAAAACATCCAAACAGGAGTATGAGCAGAACGTAACCACTCAGGTTTTACATTCTATTCAGTTTATTTCTATAGCTCCAATTCACATCATGTCATCTCAGGTCACTTTCCAGTTCACCAGATCATCCAGTCAGATCGATTCAAAGTTTTCTATCTAAGGAAAACCAGCTGATTGCATCGACTCATTGACTCTTCAGCAATCCCTCACACTAAGCATGCTTGTAGCGACAGTGGAGAGGAAAAACTCCCTTTGAACAGGAAGAAACCTCCAGCAGAACCAGGCTCAGTGTGAGCGGCCATCTGCTGAGGCCCACTGGGGTTAAAATAAACAGAGAAAACAAAATTTATAGGATAAAATTAAACAACATAAAGGGTCAAAGGGCGCGGTCGTCCAATCAGCGATGTCTCATGTTTCCCACTGGTACCTAACCTTTCCGGTAGGTTAATGTAATTGTGTTTTCCTTAATGTAGTTGCGCTTTGCTTTATGCACTGGAAAAAAAACAAAATCTAGATAAGTCATTATTTCTTAAAATAAGAGCATTTGTTCTTGAATTAAGAAGCTAAAAGAGAATTTTGCCAATGGATCAAGACAATGTAGATTTAAAAGAAGAAAACACAATTCTACTGTCTTATTTCATTATCTAATTATCTCATTTTAAGAGTAAAAATACTCATTCCATTGGCAAACTAGCTCATTTACCCACTCAAAGTAAGGGTAAATACACTTAATTTAAGAAATGTTAACTTATTTCTATATCGTTTTTGCAGTGTGTAGTTTTGTTTTCTTAATGTAGTTGCACTTTTAGATTTGTAGTTGCAGTTTGCACTTCAGGGCCACCGTAATCCTCTCTAGTTTCCACTAAATCAAATATTTAACCACAGAGCAGAAATCTGAGCGCAGCTGATTGGAATCAGGAGAGAAAACTTTAATTCAGAGAATGAATCGGATCTTTTCAGGTCTGTAGGTTCATCTGAGCTTCATGGATCCGATCCTGATTCATGGGAATTGACTGGACTGGCAATCACTCACTGAGGGATTGCTGTAGAGACGACAAACGAAGCAGGAGGGTATCTGCTGCCTCTACCTGCTCATCCAGGAGGAGAGAATCAGAGCCTGGATTCAATCAGCTGGTTTTCATTGGAACCATTTACCAATCTGGGTTTATAATGGGATTAAACCGTCTCTGCAAAGATCCCTGAGATAACTGAACTGTTTTAATTAGTTTCCTTAGAAAGAAAAGCTTCTCCTGCAGATTTATTTGGTCAGAAACGCAGAAAACCTGAAACACTGAGTAATTCTGGTGGTTTAGAAATCAACAATTTGACATTTCTGTTTCAACTATTTTTATTTTATTGCTCCAATCAAATATTCTGGGTTTTTCTTTATCTCTGAGTCATAATCATCAAAATTAGGAGAACTAACGAGCCGTTAGTTCTCCTAATTAATGTTTCATTCTGTGTGGCTGATCTATACACAATGATATCTGAGTTCACTTTATGAAATGAGGCACTAATATAAATATATATGTTCACAGTATCATGTTTTTAATGATATAATGCATCAAAATGAGGAGTTTAAACAGAAATAAAAAGAATAAAAAAAATCAGCCAAAGAACATTTTAGCAATTAGTTTTATTTTTTAAATATTACAGAGGAAAATAAGAGCTGGATCGGGAGATTTTGGATTCTCTAATGTTGATTTAATAATGTTAAAATGTAATAAAGTTTAAATAGAAATTAGGCTGGATAAAAACTATCATATATTGTCATGGAAAAAAAAAAAGTATTCAACTATTTGGTCCAGTTAACCCTTTAAAGCTCGATCCAAGAATAAAACAAAACAGAAATTTACTTTTTTTTTGGTTTAAAGTCCTTATTTGGCCTTTTAACAAAATATGTAAAAAGAAAAAACAGAAATACATTTTTGATATTAATAATGTATTACTATGCGATAAGTCAAGATTATTTTTTGTGTAGTCTTCTACTGGCTTCTAGGTATATCTGATTGAAGTTTTTACCATTAAATTATGCAAAAGGTGTCAGACGCAAAACATTTCAGAAACCGTATGTATCAAATATGATACATTTGGCATTACAGGGTTAAATAAACGGAGATCGATGGATTTCACTCGATCAGCACTTTTTTTACCTTTACAAAGAGAGAACAGTTCATCATTCAGCTCTTATTGCGCGGTAATCAGCCTGTTCTGCCTGAGCAGCGTCCGTTCCTCATTACTTACAATAATGGAAAGAAGTCAGAGTCACTTTGGTTAAACAGTAAAATGTTATGAATGAACCTTGAGAAAGAATCTGGCTTGTTTTTGGAATAAGTATGTCTGGTCTACAAACACCCTCACGCAGGAATTGTGTGGCCTTGCAGTGAAAAACGCTTTTTAATGAGTAAATAGCATAAATCGAAATATGAAATAAGATAAATCTAAATTTTCCGACCACAAAATATCTATATCAGTGTGTAACTAATATCTGCGTAAAGCAGTCATTGTTGGCTGATCTATCCTCATGGATTTAAAATCGTCCTTTTTAATCATTATTTTATGGATGAACGATATAATCGGCCCCCTACCGGTATCGGCCTTAAAACTGAATTTGATCAGCTTCTGAGTTTCTAAAGTCTAAAAAAAAAAAAAATACTACTTCTTCTTTTTCCTCAAAAACTTATTTTTTACAGACTTAAAAACTTCTAAAGACGAGGGAAAAAATATTGATCCATTAAAATATCACAATATCTTCATATGCTGATATATTGCCATTTAAAAACACCATATCAATCTCTTTTACTAATGAAATATTGCTATATGTCATCGTTTTGCTACGAAATCCCCCGAAAATTCACCAAATGTTGCCATATTTTTATATGTTGATATATTGACGCGGTATCGATCTATTTTACTAACAAAATCTCACAAGAAATTGCAAAATATCACGAGAGTTTGTAACAGAACGATGAAATTCCACGAGATTTTGAAAGTAAAATAGATCGATACCGCGTTTTTAAAAATCAATTTGATATCAGCATACGAAAATATATTTGAGTATATTATTGTCAGAAATGGATAACAAAACTGCTATTTTCAATGACTACTTATTTTTAACATCGGTATCGATATCGGTTATCGGCTACATGAGTATTAAAATATCGGCATATCGGATATCGGCCAAAATCCCAATATCGTGCATCCCTACATTATTTAGTTGATTACATCTAGTGATGGAGGCCAAGTTGACAAAGAGGCAAATAGGCATCATCAGTATTATAAAGTTTTTTTTTTTTTTATCATACAGCCATAAAAGAAATCTAAAATTATTGGAAAATTGTTGAAAGGTTGCAGAGAAAACGTGTTTTGCTGGTGAAGGAAAAGCTAAAACACTAAGAAGTTTGTTTTCCAAAAGAGTCCAGTCAGTAATCTGTTAAACTGCAGAGATGCAACCTTTAGCTTTGCTAACACACCCACACCCACCGCTAACTGCTAACTCTAATATCCAGTGACAGAACAAAGTGTGTGTGAGGCCCAGCGGAGCAGCAACTGTAATTGTTGCCCTGATCTTCGCAACCTGACCGACAAATTACGCTCACACTCCACCTGTCAATAATCTATCTAGTGGTGCGTGGAGGGCATTCCCATCTCCAACACTTTAACACACTCTGACACGCTCACACACACGCCCAGATAAATCCAGGCCTGATAAGGCCGATCACTGTCACTTCCAATAGCTGCAGAGAAGAGAAGGAGCTTTTAGTGTGAGCTGGAGAGGAGGTGGAGGCGTTTCAATGCTTATGAAGGTGTGGAGGTGCTTCAAAGAGAACGCCGAGCAGAAATATTGGAGCTAACAGGGTAGAAACAGGACTAACGTGCTGCTAGATGGACGGGGAGAGGTGGAGGGAGAGATGTTGGGAAGATAAAAATGAGAGAGCTCAGCTTAAGGTTTGGAGACTCTTCCAGCTTTTGAAAACTCCATCAACATTTGGGACTCCGGTTATATTCAGAGACTCCTGCAAAATTTGGAGACGCAGCATTTAAAGACTCCACCAACAACGCCCTGGTGGTTAGATAGTCCACCAACGCTTGACGTCTGCACTCCGCTAACATTTGGAGAATCTGCCAATCTTTGCAGATTCCACTAATATTTAAATTTTGCAGATTCCACAGATGCTTGGAGCCTCCATCAACGTTTGTAAACACGGTTAAAGTTTGGCGCCTCTGTTAACGGTTGAAGACTCTACCAGTGTTTGTAAACTAGCAGTTTTTAGAGATTTCACCGATGTTAACTGGGCCATTCACCGATAAGTGGACTTAATTAAGCTGAGTAGACTCACATCTGGGCCTGGATGGCGTTGTGCGTGCAGCAGACATGTTCACAAGTCATTTTTTGCAAGTCAAAGTCAAGTCTCAAGTCTAGAGTAGGCCTGTTGCAATAATAAATTAACCACACGATAAATTCTAATCACATGATTAATTAAAATAAGTTCGATAATTTGCGTGCTTGCTTGTTTCTCCTTGTGTTTTCATCTCCGTCACTGAGACGTTATAGCTTAACGGTTACTATTGTATCTATGGAATTATCATTATCCAAACTATTTTCTTACAGTATTTAACTGACATTTGTGGTTACAACTTTTTCTTGTTTTAGCAGTAAATGTCTGCTCTTTTATTTTTAAATGAAAATGAGGGCTGTGAAGAAAACCAATCACAATGCTGCCCTTTTATAAATACATATGAGGTTAGCAACTACATTAGACATTAAATGTCTAGGTGTCTTTCAGCGTACCAACACAGGGAAATGGTGCGACTTGGCCAGTGGTGCTCCAAAAACTACTTAAAGTATACACTCACCG